CTCATTGGTCAGTGTTTTCCGTTAATAACTCGTAAACAAAGCCGCAGATTTCATTTTCGCAAAGGAAAAAGTTACTTCAAATGACCTCAGCTACCCCTCATTTTCGGCTGTTAAAATAATTGTGGAACACCGTGTATATAATAATATATAATTATACATATCAAATAATTTAATAATAATAACTTAAGCCTTCAACTATGCAGACGGTGTAAGTTCAAACCATTCTGTTTCGAGTGTGTTGACCAATAATGACCAATAAATGTGTTAACCAACCATTCTTGTATATAAAACTCCAGAATGTTTGTCCTTTTGGATAAATCGTCGAAGGGAAGTTTCTTGTGCCCGGAAGCTGCAACGGTGAAACTATTCGTAATACCATGTTCACTGACTATTACGCTTATGTATATACGTTATTGTGTATTTTTTTTTTTTTTTTTTAACGGAACACGAGAACGTCAGAACATTTGCTGGGTACTGCCGACCCGTCGCAGTGACAAACCAGTCATCCTAATTATAAGCGCAATTAGAGAGTGGATTCATTAGATTTTTATTATCCTAGCAACTCTTATCCTTGATGATCGCGATGTGTTGCTGACCCTAGGTCGAACGTTTCCTCTAACTGTTTCGTAACACCGACTAGATGAACCCGAGTGACTGAGATGTACGCGCTGTGTTTGCAACACGTAACTCAATACAGTTGCAGAAACATAAGAAAAGATTAGGATCTCTCGCAAATCATCGCTAGTAATCATCGCTAATGTCAGCATTAAGTCCGTAAAAATATAAGCATTATATACGAGCTCCATTGTCTGATTAATTTTTTTTCCTAATTGTCCGATTTTAAAAGTCGTTTTTGAAGTTGAAGTTAGTTCGATTTCCAAAAAGTTATAAAGATCTTTTAACAATTAGCGGTAATTTGTTAAATTCTACTACCGCTTAATACACGGACGAACAGTTTTGTTTCAGTCGTTTAGTGATTATAAATTTAATAACGATCATAAATCGTTTCAAGGGTGAATGAACATTTTCTGATGATAATGTTCGAAAATTGATAAGCTATAAATTATAGTAGCTAAGATAAATATAGTATATAAATAAATTAAATAAATAAATATTATATAAGTAATATTTAATTATATAAGTAAATATAAATAAAAATTATAGTATAAAGCTAACGTACCTGCATTCATCATTCGAAGTCGTGCGATGTCCCAAATGAAACTTCTTCGTGGTTAAGGGATTTTGTTCCTACATAGCAATGAAGATGAAGAATAGCTTTTTTATGGTAAATTCTGGGCAAGGATTGGGACGATGGAAACGATGATCGTAATTTAGGCATTGGTTTCTCCAGTTGCGTGGACGAGTACATGATATTAGAATGATTAACGGGTTGGGTTCGATTTCTAATTATAGTAATTTCTTTGTTGACGATCGCTAACTATAAAAAAGGGCCGCAAGGCTCGAATAATCGTATCTCCTCTTCCCAAATTGTCCATTTTTGTTTTCAAGCTGAGCGCGAATTTTGGAAAAATTATTGTATTATAGGATAAATATTGTCTCAGACATCGAAACGTTTTCACAGTCCCAATGCAATACTAACATTTTGAAGTATATTTCGAAGTTTTCAACGAACAAAATTTTCTTCAACATTATCGTATAAATATCCAGTCGAATAAAAAACTTTATCTAGATAACAATTTATCCAAATAAAAATTCATCTGAATAAGTTTGTTATTCGAATAAAAGTTTATTTGTGCAGGAATTAATTCGGACAATAAACGGTTTGAATAAGAATTATAGAACACAGAATATTTTTCCATAATTTTAATGATTAATTTCTTCCATGTTTATTTCTACAATTATCTTCTTCTTCAACTGTTGCGTCGGAAAGTTCGTTACTTCTCGGTAGATTGATCGTTGATACATAACTAAATAATCTTTTTATTTCGAGTGCAAAGGAAGTCATCGTACATTCCAGGATTCATATTTACAATATGATGTATGCTTACAAAATTACGTAAGAAACAAACAGGTCAACAATTGTTCGAATTATTTTAGAATCCCTATTGCAATAATTTATTCGAATAAAAAATGAAGAATTACTCGAATAAGTGAATAGAATAATTTACGAATAATGGATAATTGTACGCGTCAATTGAGCCGTTTATTTTGAAAGTGGCATAAGTCACCTTGTTTTTAAGTCGATATATTTAAGGGTTTGCGTTTTAACACGTTTAAAAATATGGACGCTAACTTTCGAGAAGATTTACTTGTATTTGTTATCACGGGATACTGATATTTTTCTCAGTATAAATAATTTCGTATAAACATTAAAAAATCACCACTTTTCATTACGGTACGGACCTGTCTCTTATACACATCTAGATGTGTATAAGAGACAGCTGATATTTTTCTCAGTATAAATAATTTCGTATAAACATTAAAAAATCACCACTTTTCATTACGGTACGGACTTATGCCACTTTCAAAATAAACGGCTCAATTGTCGATCAATTTTTGCGGCCGCTAGCTACGGACCTGGCCGCGCCGCTGGTCTCTCTTTTGATTGTTCGATGTACAGGCCACGACCAGTCGTCGGTAGTGCGCGATTACCCTTAATCGACTGTGTGTTTCACGCGGATACGATACTCTCGTTACGTGTATCCTGTCGGAAAAGTTTAATGGTCCCATCGGTTCCTTTTTCGATTTATTTTGTTACGCCGCATTATTGCATTAGCAAGTGTTTATTACAGAAAGAAGGATGAAGGAGAGATATCGGTTCACGAATTTACACGGTCGATTATGTATCGAGTCCGCGTGGAATGAGCGATGACTTTACAGCGGATGAAGATTGATGACAGGAAGCGAAAGTAATGTTAACGTGTAACGTGTAATCTAATCGGTATTAACACAATTCGATTGCTTTCCGTGCAATTAACACCCTCCGTTTTATTTCGCTTCGCGCCTCTTTTGTACAGAAATAATACAGATTGAATTCGTCGAGAGAAACCGCGTATTAATAATAATTCCACATGGACGATACGGTGGAAGTAAATAGAGAAAGGGAATCGGCGGGGTCTTTTATTACGAACGAAAATACAAAATTGCATCTCTTATCGCTAAATGGTCCCCGCGAAATGTAACTAAATTATGCGTTATGTACGCTCGTGTCGAAGTATGGCAATCACCCGACATTACACCGTGGAATTTCATGTATTCGTAACTTACAAAAATATGCGAAAATAAATAAAACGCGATCTTTATCACCGCTAGCAATGTTCATTGCATCACACTATCATTTACATGTATATCTCGCTATTGTAATCTATTTCCCCGGAAGAGAAGTAACTCGCATATGACACAACTAGAATGAATGTTAAACGGTCAGCTATGGCTGTCATTGTTCTACTTCAGGTTTTCTCTTCCGGAAAATAGATTACAATACTGGGAGGAAATATTATTCTAATTTATAATAATTACAACTTCGTTTCTTTTTTATTTTGATTGCCGAAGTTCGATAGCGATGCGATAAATATTTCCAGGAATAATTTTATCATACTTTTAAGTTCTCTAAATTTGATTGTAAAAATGTAAATCTACGTAAACGTCCGCAGCGTGTTGGTTACATGTGCCACTCACTGTAGTCGTGGAACAATGTTCCTTTAATTACTGTACACGAGAGTTCGGGTTCGCAGCGGTCAAATATACACACACGCAATCTCCATCGTTGGATTAACATTCCACACTCCACTGGCACAGCGAACTTTTACGTTTGTTTATTAATAATAAATATCGTTCATGTACACTTTACAGGTTTGTGTATCTCTACTTCTCTAGAACTCGTACACGTTCTCCCATTTTCGAAACGACGCACAACACTTGCGTGTGATTTAGCATCAACGCCGCGGACATTAAAACAGATTATGGCTACTTGGATAATTCGTGATCCTAATCGGTACGTGTTATTATTAGAGACCGCGGATCTTTATGCGAAATAAGAATTGTCTAAATTAATTGTAAGGAATATAACTTACATGAAAATGTCTTTTCTTCTGTTAATAATCGTCACAAGTTGAAAATATTCCAACAATATACTCAAATTCTTTTAACGTCCGTCAAAAATTTTCTATTTGAATTTTTCTATTTGATTTTTCAATTTGAATTTTCTATTTGTCATAAATGCACAAAATTCGCGCAGTCTAGTTATCATTGTATCTTTGATTATGAAGTCATTCTTGGACAAATTTAAAGTACTTTCTGTCGACTAATCGCGTTCGCGTAGAGCGTGTTGAATTGTTTTAAGAGTCCAGCTTTAACGAGTTCCTCTGCTCGTTATGCTCTAAGTGCGTACTCCGTTTAATCCTCCCACGTACATTCTCTCTCAAAAAGTTACCTGACACGTTCATTTGAAACAGCAAAATTTCAGCGAATTTTATGAAATTTTATGAATTACGGTAGAGAGTGAGTTGTGTTCAACGTTAACTTTGTTTTATTCAGAGGCGACGCATTACGGTAATTTCTCCCTAATTGACGTTCAGATTATGCGTAAAAAGAGGAAATACCATTATTCGAGTCTTGCGGCTCGTTTTTATAGTTATCGATTGTCAACGACTATAAAAACGAACCGCATGGCTCGAATAAAATTGTATTCTTCACAAATTGTTCATCTTTGTTTACAAGGTGGAGAATTTACTGTACATCTAACTAGCAGATTTTCTTAGTAGATTCACAGATTGTGGCACACTCTTTCAAAATAACAAATTCAAAACGTTGCGATGTGAAAGTATATAAAAATACCAGAAATAAAATTCATAAACTAGTATTAAGATTAAAATATAGAAATTAAACGCAAAGTGTTAAAAATCAAAATCACACTAAATTCTTCCCAATTGTCCTTGAGTTTGTAAAAAAAATGGACAATTTGGGAAGAGGAGATACGATTATTCTGGCGGCTTCTTTTTATATTTGTTGCCAGTCGGTAACTATAAAAACGAGTCCGCAAGCCTCTTCCGAAATTGTCCGTTTTCGATCGCGAATTAGGGAGAAATTACAGTATTGTGCAATTATGCTTCGCGATGTTTACAAACGTACCGAGAACGAGAGAGTGCTGCAAGGCATGTTATACAATACACAGCCTCGCTGAAATGTTACATAAAATACGAATATCCAAATCGAAAATGGCAGATCATTTGTATCTATTCCTCGCTGTAAGTTCTGACATAAACTTGGCCGAACGAACTTTCTTTAGCGTACGCGCGTGTCTGGTCCTTTCTTTTTTACGAAGACGAGCGTACGCTGAGAGATCATAGGCTAAGATCCCCGGCCGATAGGGGGATACGCAGAACGCGTGAATCCTACACGTTTCCCTGATTCTTAGTCGTTACGTGACTCGTTACATCACAGATATCGGGTCTCTGGCTGCGACCCGACGATCGAGTTCCTCGAGACGAGAGAGTATTACGTTACCTGACCAGCAGAATGGCTCCGGTATTCACCCGGCTAAGGTAAGAGTTCGAATTGTTTTGCGTCAATTATCGGTAAAGCGTCCACGGTCCGCGATAACATTCTATTCAGCAATCTTGGGCATAGCTATTATTCGACCAGTACTTTTGCTACGTTGCAGATCTACTACCGCTTTCTTCTTACCACGGGTTGGACGATAGCAAAGAGGTTCTAATTGCTACTTTGCAGATAAGAGCCTGTATCAAAGTAGCCTACGTGGATCGAGGTTGGACAATTCCCTTTCATTTGTACTCGATAATCTCAACGCTAGATACTAAATTAAGTCGCTTTCTCCCACAGAGGAAATAATTGCTCCCTGACGGAGAAAACAAAATAGCTGGCTGACCGATCTTAACGCAGCGGGTTCAAAGGGACTGCGAGCAAAGCTTCGAGTTCTGTTGCGCTGCACTGCGAAAACACAGCCTTCCGCTGAATCAGTTTCAGCAAAGATGGTCCCAAGACTTCTCTGTTTACAGTTCCACCAGGTCCACAGGCTCGCTATATCCTTACCTTGAAGCGCACTCGAGTCTACCAGGCTCCCAGGAGCTGGCCCCTGTTATCTTTCATCAGAATGCAACTAGGAATACGTACTCGACACCATCAGATTACTCGAATCACTAACTCCCGCTAGCTTCCAACGGATTCTTCGATATTGGCGTCAGTATGCTGAGCTCCTGGTCCGAATTCGGTGGTGTCAGGGTATCCGCCGGTGTCCTCGACAGCACTCTGGCCTGGCCAACCTTGGACTCCGCCGTGGCGCCCTCTATCTGCTCCTTCGCTTCTCCGGGATTGTTCACCGTGCACTTCTTGTAGTGAGTCCTCATGTTGCTGCTCTGGGAGAACCTGAGGCCGCAATTGGGGCAGGAGTACGGCTTGGTGCCGGTGTGGTAGTTCAAGTGGGTCTTCAGGTGGTGCTTCTTGGTGAAAGCTTTCGAGCACAGCGTGCACTGATACGGCTTCAATCCGGAATGAAGCCTGGTGTGCAGAGTCATGTTCGATCTGTCCGCGAAAGCCTTCTGGCAGACCTGGCACTGGTACGGCCGCTCCCCGGAATGGGTCCTCAGGTGCTGCTTCAGCAACATTTTCCGCGAGAAAGCCTTGCCGCACTGCTCGCACTGGTGCGGCTTCACGCCCGTGTGGATCCGGACGTGCATGTTGTACGCGACCCGCTGGTTGAAGCTTTTCCCGCATTCCGCGCACCCGTATTCCTTCCGGTTGCGGTGGATCTTCATGTGAGAGCTCAGGTAACCCCGGTCGTTGAAGTACTTGCCGCATTCCGGGCAGGTGGCCGCGAACTCCCTGGTGCCCTCGTGAACGCTCCGGTGGTACTTGTAGTTTCGCAGCTGTGAGAACTGCTTGCCGCAATCCGCGCAGCGAAACGGCTTTTCACCGGAGTGCGTCCTGACGTGCACCTGAAACAGACCCACGGGGAATCGTCTTGGGACTTCGGTGATTGATTGCCCGCCAGACGAGCTCCGTCCTCGGGCATCTGCCCGCGCGCCCGTTCGAGAAACCGCTGATCTTTTGCCTCGTACTTTCACGGGGAACGATTCATAGTTTACGCGATCTCGAATCGGTACCGAGCCGATTGTTTTTGTGGATGCACCGGTGACCCTGTCAGGTAAATAAAGGAGAAACTGATAGGCCGCGATTGGAGAACTGACGAACGTGGGAGAGGACTGGAAGAGAGAATGGAAAGAATAATACAAATAAATAATACATGTGCGAAGAGGAGATCAGAATGAAATAAAAACTAGAGGACGGCCGAACGAGAAAAGGGCAACTAATATACAGGGTGGGCCGGAATTCGTAGAACAAGCAAGCAGAGGGTGACTCTACAAGAAAAAATAAGAAACAAATTTGGCATAACATTGTTTTATCCGGGGCTCCGTTTTCGAGAAAATCGATTTTAAGGACTCTTCGTAAAGAATTTAGTTGTATTTTCTTCTACCGCAGTTGCCTCCGTCCGAGATAGTGTTTACAAACATTAACGATGATGGACGCATACCGTTTACTACATAGTTCGCAACAAGTTAATTTTAAGGACAATTTTTTCGAAAACGAGGCCTCGGATAAAAGAAAATACACCAAATTTGTTTATTTTTCCACGAAGAATCACCCTCTGCTCGGTTGTACTACGAATTCCGACCCACCCTGTATAGTTATAATAGTGAAAGTAAAGTACTGTAAAGAAAATCCGAAATCATGTAAAATGTGTACGGACAGTGTAATAAATAGTAGTGTAATAAAAAAGTAGTCCCATCATTAAGACGACACTAAAAAATGTTCTGCAGGAGTGTAGTAACACTCTAAGTAGGGGAGGGATGAGAATAATAATAATAATATTAATAAGAGAGAATACAATAATAAGAAGAGAAAAGAAGAAGTAAAGCATATTAAAAAATACAAAGAAAAATGCACATAATAATACTAAGAAAATATATGACATGACAAGAACAATAGATTAATATCTATATAAAATAATAAATATATGTAACCGGAAGCTGTCCTAAGTCGAAAACAGGATCATAATAAAATAATAATAACAATAGCTCCAGCGATGAAATCACGGTAGCACTAATTTAATCTTGTTACAATCCAAGTGTCAAGAAACAGAATCCAATTGTTGATAAAGTTGCAGTTTTTGTGTAGATCAAAAGTATATGTTACAGAGATCAAGAAAATATAAATTAAAAATCGAACCAAAAGTTGATTTCATTAAGAGGAATTAACACAGATCGTGGGGATATAATACTAATTACAATCACTGGTCGTAACTTACATAGCGCAAGTTTTTATGATGCAATACAAACATGTATCAATCAATCGGTATTCTGTGACCTGGACGTCGTATATCGTAATTTCATATCCTTTTAAACTGTCAGATAAATCTAACGTAATTCGAGCATGTTTGCTTTATGGGTATTACCTTGGATCACGAGCTATAGAAACATAAGTAGGTTATATATGACATAACCTATATATATGACGTCGTTCGAGACTGTTCAGCGTTACTGATAATAGAGAAGTACATATTACGATTGAAGATAATATTATTATTGAATATAATCATTACTAAAGATCTACAAATTTGTATCTCGTTAAGAAGATGTTGCGAAAACGATTATAACAAATCAATAGGATATCATCTGAAAATTTTTGCGCCTCGTTTTTATAGTTGTTGACAATCGACAACTATAAAAATGAGCCGCAAAGCTCGAATAATCGTATCTCCTCTTCCCAAATTGTCCATTTTAGTTTCCAAGCTGAGGGAATTTACTGTGCATCTAACTCTTTCAAAATAATAAATTCAAAACGTTGTAATGTGAAAGTATATAAAAATACCGTTTATAAACTAGTATTGAGCTCAAAGAGTATATAAATTAAAAGCAAAATGTTAAAAATCAAAATATATTAAATTGACTCCAATCGTCCTTCAGTTCGTAAACAAAACTAGAAAACTGTCTACTTTTGCTTATACAAGCTGAAGGACAATTAGAGAAATTAGTGTATATAAAATGGTGAAAACCTGCAGAATAGAATACATTTTATTAGCAAAGTAAACTGCAAGTGGCATATTTAACATTTGTTTCCAAGCTGAGGGTCAATTAAGGGGAATTTACTGTGCATTTAACTAGCAGATTTTCTTAGTAGATTCACAGATTGTGACACACTCTTTCAAAATAATAAATTCAAAACGTTGTGATATGAAAGTATATAAAAATACCAGAAATAAAGTTTATAAACTAGTATTAAGATCAAAGAGCATATAAATTAAAAGCAAAATGTTAGAAATCAAAATATACTAAGTTGACCCCAATTGTCCTTCAGTTTGTAAACAAAGCTAGAAAACTGTCCACTTTTGTTTACAAGCTGAAGGACAATTGGGGAGAAATTAGTGGATATAAAATGGTGAAAAAACCTGCAGAATAGAATACATTTTATTAGCAAAGTAAACACCGTCTGCAAATGGTATTTAATTAAATACCATTATGTATGAAATAAATGATAAAAATAAATTTAATACTTCTGTACTTATAAACAAGTAGTTATTGCTAACAGTGTGCAAAGACACAGTCAGATTTCACTTCAACAATTAATTTATTTTTCCAGAACGAAATATCTCGAGGCTAAAATCGCGAAACCTTTTAAGGAAGAAAAGTCAAACAATCAGGTTGCATACCTTGAGAGAGGCTCTGGTAACGAAAGTCTTCCCGCACTGATCGCATCTGTGGCTTTCTTGGCTCGCGACCGGCCTCCCACGTTGCGGAACATCGTTGCCAACGATAGCATCGTTGTTGTTGTTATCACTATTTCTAATAACCCTTTCCGCGAGTTTATCGTCCTTCTTCAGTACCCTCTCCGACCTTTCGACTTCCACACTCGCGAAACGATCGATCTTATCGTTGGTTTCGATCGTATCGCAGAGTCTGCTAACCGGATGTGAGATTTCTGGTTTTTGCGGTGGATGGGGCAGGGTTTGACCAAAGTAGCCAGTTTTCCTGTTGATAGTCGGCTGAACGTTCTCGTTGCTGATCAACGGAGGCCTGGTCGTTGTGGACACAACATTATTCTGTGATTGCGAGACGGTCTCGTTGGTAGGAACATCGTTCACAATGGACGGAACAGGTTCCACAGTCGGAAATGGGATCTGCGGCGAATAAAACTCTCGGTGTCTCGTTGCTGGCGCTGAATTCGCTTCCAACAACCTTGGACCAAGGTTGTACTGTATCTCTCTGCTGGCGGGAGCTTCGACGCCATAGTAATGCACTGCTGCGGGTGCTGGACTTTTCGGGAACGGAACGTGGGGACCGCAGGGGACTACCGGTTGCTGCACTTCTGGCAGACGCAGGTTCTCTCCGGCCTCCTGTAACATGATAAAGACGAAGTATCTTAATGATAATAAAGTCGAAGCTCAGATTGATAATGATCCAGTATTATCCAGTTTCTGCAGGAGTAATTTTCCATTCAGTAATTTCCCATTCAATAATTATCCATTTAAGAATTTCCATTCAGTAATTTCTCACTCAATAATTTCCTATTTAAGAATTTCCATTCAGTAATTTTTCACTCAATAATTTCCCATTTAAGAACGTTAACGCATGCAAATCACAAAGACCTACAAAACACATTGTTTAAATTTTTAGTTAGAGGCTCGGATGTAGAAGTTAACAAAAAAATATATTGCAGATCGTGTCTCAATTTAGTGACTTCAACATCCAAATGATTCTCAAAAGTATTGTTTTCTCAACACGATCAAATCCATACTGTTTCATGCAGACAGACAAACTAAATCGAGTAATACATAAAAATGTAATGTTCCCGTTAAAAAATCATCGATGATTCGTGTACATGTATTATTTATCGCAAACAATCGCGTAAAAACCAATAAGATTCGTATCTTCTCTGATCCGTTGAGCCACTCCAAAGAAAAAGATCTTCGAATTACACGACGATGTAGTAGCTTTACTCGGAGAAAATAATAATTAATACCGAGAATATAATTACAGTAAATTCTCCCTAATTGACGTTCAGATTGTACATAAAAATGGGCAATTTGGGAAAAGGAGATACGATTATTCGAGCCTTGCGACTCATTTTTATAATTGTTGACAATCGGTAACTGTAAAATAATAGATAAATAGAATAATAACTATAAAATAAATAGCCGCAAGGCTCAAATAATCGTATTTCCTCTTTTCGTGCACAATCTGAGCGTCAATTAAGTAGAATTTACATACTGTTATTCTTTCATTCGACCATCTCGTTCTCTAGTAATTTAAAGCTTCTGATTTATCCGAAGATTTTAAACCACTGCGTGTCGTTGTCCTATCGCAACTAAGTACTGTTACTTCGGATTAATCGAAGTATCAAACACGTATCTACACTAATCGTTGGAAAATAGATCAATCACTGTAACAGAACTTTCGGGGGACCCGTTGGAGCGTAAAACCGAGCTTCGTGACCAGCCACCACGAACCATAACTGATTTATGGTTATTACACGCAGCGAGACGAGCCGACGCGGTGTAATTAAATCGCATATTTCGATGTTGCCCCCAAGACGAACCAGCATGATTCCAACGTAGATCGCCTGCTCGAAACGAGTACGATACACCGAATTACGCGAACGACTTCGCAATCTAATGGCCGGATTGCCCATCGCATCGGTGTTCCTGTCGGCATCAATTTCAGATTAGCTTGTAAAAAAGCGCATGCACGCGCGATAACTGCAGGTTCTAGTATTTCCACGATCGTAAAATCCAGAGGTACACGAACGATTCTCGATAACGAAGCAACCGTGAACCTAGTTGCGTCAAAGTGGTCGTCGTTAAAAATTTGTGTTTATCGGCGTTATTAATATCAGCATATTCGAATATCCGTACCGATATAACTGCAACAAAATCATCGTGGAACTGGTTTATAGAGTTCAACCTTGTTATCCTTTAATTACGGAGAACGAGCACCGGCAAGAAATGTGCAGCTACGAATTTTTCTTATTCGACAAAATGCGAGTCGTGAACTTTGCCAATTATCTGCTTAATAGGTATAATCTGCATGAATTTTACCGATTACTTTGTATCCAACTGTGATCTCGGGCTAAGAACAAGCTCGTTTGTCTGTGCGTGCCAGGATAATTGCTCGTACGCTAGTTAGACGAATAAACGTGAGAATTTCAAAGATTTTAGACTCCCGCGGCGTGGAATTTTGCTGGCATCGCGGACAGCTTCATCACAGGCTTGGACGAATGGCAAGAGTAACTTGCGTTATTAGTTAACGGAGCATCGTTAGGAAATGTTGGTTGCCGCAATTAATAGCGGATGCACGGGAGTTGACAAAGGTCGTTTATCATTTTATGCGCGTGCGCAAATATTTGATATTCGCGCTTCAAGCTCGTGCATTTACAGATCATACTCGCTGTTTTTCGTATCAAATTCATCTCGAATAGCATATTTACAAAAAAAATAATTGACCCGGTATTTTCAGGTCGTAAACATTTGGCAAGAGTAATGGAGTCTGTTGCAACCGTTATGTCGTAATTGCTGCATGAATATGTACGGGGCAAAGATGAAATTGCCGGCACCGGCTGCAGAAGTACCATTATAAATTAAGCTTGACTAGCCGTGAAAAATACAGTGATTTTCTTGGAAAGCGTAGTCTTCCGTTGCCAAATAGAATATTCAGCTAATAAAGAGTAAACGATTGACATAGTACGTAAACGAATAACATATTACTTCCTATACATGGTGTCCCAAAATTATTGTACAAGCGGGAAATGAGGGGTTCCTAAGGTCATTTGAAGAAATTTTTTCCTTAGCGAAAATGCAACCCGCGGCTTCGTTTACGAGTTATTAGCGAGAAACAACGACCAATGAGAGGCGAGCACATCTAGCGCTAGGCGGCCGAGCCAATCAGAGCGGAACTGGGTTTCGACCGCTCGTTGGCTCTGCCGCCGCGCGACAACTGCTCTCGCCTCTCATTGGTCGCTGTTTTTTCGCTAATAACTCATAAACTAAGCCACGGATTGCATTTTCGCTAAGGAAAAGGTTGCTTCAAATGGCCTCAGGAACCCCTCATTTCCCGCTTGTACAATACTTTTGGGACATCATGGATAACAAAATCTTTCGACATATATTTTGTTACATATAGGCCATATACAATTAGTATTTCGTTGTTCGTATCAGTCATACACAGAAAACAAAATTAAAAGAAAAAGAGAACGTGATGACACAAGAAATAAGATTCTCTTACGAAGATTATTATGAAGATACTGAAGTAAAATTTATTACAATTACATAAATTTAAAACGACGTAATTAACGATATAAAATACTAAACTTATGATTTCAAATACATAATATTGAATCAGTTAGCACGAAATATAATTGAAATAATTTGTTATATTACTTTTCGCGACGAAATTATTGCTGTAATAAGATCTCAAGACACGACAACAAAACATTAGAAGCAATGTAAACATTGTGCGCGTGTTAAACAGATATTTTACGTGCATCGCTACATGCAACAACATTTTGTATTTTTGAACAGTTTCATATTGGACTCTGTTGCAGAAGTATAAAAGAGAAAAACTAGTAGAGTTCTATTTGTGTAAACAGACGAATTCGATCTGTGCGGCAGAGTAAACCGCGGCAGGGTGAATTCGGAGCGTAAGCTGAATCGAGGGAGCAGCGCGGAGGACAGGATTGAGCGCATAGAAAGTTATTTTTGACGGTGGCCGGGTAATTGAGCATTCGAACAGGATCGGAACAGGTGCGCAATCTTCGAATCACGACCGACCTCGCGGTTGGAGTAGGATGGTCCCGGTGGAAGACACATGGTCGGGGTTGCGCAAGGTCGTAAAGCGATCGGAAAAAATCTGGAGCATATCGTGGATGCACGTGTCGAAAGAGAAAACGCCACTGCTCCCGTGATTGCGTGTAACCGCGTATAAAATGTGTAAAGCCGAGATTCGCAGCTGGCAGGCGCCAGCTGGTAGCACCTCGCCTCTCGACGCAGGATTGAAACGATGATTTGCTGAAAAAAAAGAAGGGCGAGAGAGAGAGAGGGAGAGAGAGAGAAGTTGGATACGCCCATCACAGTAAGCAGTACAGAAAAAGAGGGGAAGACTGCAGGTCTGAACACTTTAAAGAAAAGAAGAAGGGAAAGACCGTATTGCTCCTCGGTGCGCCCGAAAAAAATTAAAGGAGAGAAACGAACGAAACACGAACAACGTGTAACTGATAGTTTCATTAATCAGAAAGACATCGTCTGACCATAAGCAGCTGATGGCAACTGTCTTATCACCTGGCGGCATCGAATTAATCCGGTGCGCTAAATGAGTTTGCAGAAATGAGGCACATGCACTGATTTCTTCTCTTGCCCTGCAATTTATTATTATTCTTATTTCCCCGTGGTTTTTTTTTCTTCGCTAATCTACGATTCGAGAAATGTCCATCTGGCAGATTAAGCATAAAGGAATGCGCTTAATTATTCAAGACGCCGAGTAGCCGGAAAATTGGTTAAAAAAAATGGTTAATTCGCGCTCAGATTGCGCACAAAAATGGACAATCTGAAAAGAGGAGATACGATTATTCGAAGAAGTTGACAAAAATATATATTGCCTTACATATGTCGAGCAACTATTAAGTTTGATCGTATCTCAATTTAGTGGCTTCAACATTCAAATGTTTCTCAAAAGTATTGTTTTTTTCAACACGATCGAGTCCATACTGTTTCATACAGAAAGTCAAACTAAATCGAGTAATACATAAAAATGTAATGTCCCCGTTAAAAAATCATCGATGATTCGCATACATGTATTATTTATCGCAAACAATCGCATGAAAACACATTTAACTAAAAGTTGAGCCACACCAAAGAAAAAGATTATCGAATCACTCGACGATGTAGTAGCTTTACTCGGAGAAAATAATATTTAATACCGAGAATATAGTTACAGTAAATTCTCCCTAATTAACGCTCAGATTGTACAAAAAAAATGGGCAATTTGGGAAGANTTTTTTTTTCTTCGCTAATCTACGATTCGAGAAATGTCCATCTGGCAGATTAAGCATAAAGGAATGCGCTTAATTATTCAAGACGCCGAGTAGCCGGAAAATTGGTTAAAAAAAATGGTTAATTCGCGCTCAGATTGCGCACAAAAATGGACAATCTGAAAAGAGGAGATACGATTATTCGAAGAAGTTGACAAAAATATATATTGCCTTACATATGTCGAGCAACTATTAAGTTTGATCGTATCTCAATTTAGTGGCTTCAACATTCAAATGTTTCTCAAAAGTATTGTTTTTTTCAACACGATCGAGTCCATACTGTTTCATACAGAAAGTCAAACTAAATCGAGTAAT